AGAAAAAAAAAAAAAAAGCAATGATAGTAAAATAAAACATAAACACAACATACCATGAGTATCGTGCACCATATAACAAAAATGTAATCTACTTTGCAAACAGAGTTTTCGTTCATGGTCAAGAAGGGCCCAAAGGGATTATTTTAAATTTAGCCATCTAAAACATTGCCCATCATTCAAGCTGCTTTTTGTACCCAAATGAGCATAATTCAAGACAGAAAAGGATAAAATATTCACTGTAATTCATTCATTTCCACAAGTCACAGTGGTTGGTGGGTTGACTAAACTTTACTTCCCTTGCCCGTGGGGATGTGCTATTTTTTTTTAAATTTTTTTAATTGTTTATTTTAAGAGAGTAAGAGTGCAAGCGGGGAAGGGGGAGAGAGAGAGAAGACAGAGAGAATCCCAAGCAGGCTCCAGGCTGTCAGCACAAAGCCCAACGCAGGGCTGGAGCTCGCACACCATGAGATCGTGACCTGAGCCGAAATCAGGAATCGGAGGCTGAACCAACAGCCACCGGGGAGCCGCGGGCATGTGCTATTTTTAGATCATCACAATCATTGTGTATGTATCTTGATTTTTTCACACTACGTGCTGGCTTGAGCATTGACCTGTGTTTCCACAGAGAATCCAGATTCACCATAGTGACCGATTTTAACGCCCTTTGAAATCAACATGTGGTGCTTTAGGCAAACCCTGACGTCTGGGTATGTGGGAACCCTTCACCCACATTGGACCAACGTTGTGTTCACATTTTTCCCGCTGTAGGATCGTTTCCTTGAGGCAAATTACCAGAGACGAGGGAACCGAACTTCTTACAAAGTTACAGCGACGTTTTTGTTTCTTGATGTGTGTTCCCAACGGCTTTCCAGTAGCAACGGGTGTGAGGGTCTCCGCCCCACTGCATTTCATCAGCTTCCGTGACTTGTTTCTAGTGTAACGTGTACAAAATAGCATTCCTGGGATTTTTATTTTAAATTAGTTTTTAATTCATATGAATATCATTCTGTTCTCATAGAGAGGTGTGGTTGAGCATACTTCGAAGTCAACACGAGTACTTTGAAGAAAAAGTACCTATGTAATTTTGTTTAGCCAGGCTTTAAGCATCAAAATGAACAGCAAGCGTTTTAGAAAGTGCTGGTTTCAGTTTTGAATACTATTTTACGTATCACTCTGCATTTTTTTCTGTACCTTGTATTTTGTCAACTGTTTAAATTAAGTGTACTTAAACCATCACATTCCATGAAAGAGAAAAACACACGTTAAGAAAATGCATTCAAAAAAAAAAAAAAAAGAAAGAAAGAAAAAGAAAAAGAAAATGCCTTCAATTAAAGCCCCAGCAGCAGCAGTAAGAAAGAGAGCCTTGTGCCCCTTACGGTCCTTATTAATTGGCCCACATGCACACACATCTCCAACTGGCCCCTTTTGTCTGGGTTGTCAGAGGACATTAGCTGAGACTAATCTGGAAGCTGCTTCCTGGCTCCCAAAAGGACACAGTCACCAAGAAAGAAAGACGCGTTTATCAGAACACAAACTTTGCTACGTAAGTGAGGATCATGCAAAAAAGCATACCCCGGGCATCATTATCTGGGCCTGATTAGCAATGAAGGAAATTGGTCCTCAATTTTCACAATCAGCGGAAAAGACCTTCAGCTCTCACTGAAGACAGACAATTGCCGTCAACATGTTTCTGTGGTCCGCGCGGCGAGCACAGAGACAAGGGCCCTTGCAAAAGCTGCTTTGAAATTGTTTTGGCCGTAGCTGTCTCGTGGATGCTATTGTCCCAGTGACGCAAATAAGGCGAGATCCGGCTCCCCTCGGCGGGCGGCTTGACATCTTCCCAGATGTCCAGGTGGCAGGGGCCACATTGTGCCCCTGGGCATCAGGCATGGCCAGTTCTCCCCCCTGCCCCCACCCCCCTGGGATTTGGAGCCCATGTGACCTTGGGTGGGTCCCTTAGTCTCTCGGCACATGGTTCCCTATCTGTAGACAGCAATGGTAACACTACCTGCCTTATAAATTGCTTGTGAGGTTTATATAATACGATAATTTGCGCCAAAGTTCTGCATCTGGGGTCTCGCGTGTGCAGGCTGCACACGGCACAGAGGGACAGCAGGCATCCCTCCCTGGTAGGTGCTTTCTCCAGTCTTGGGGGGGGTGGAAGGCAGGTCCAAGGGCAGGAACTGTTATCCCTGTCCTTGGCGCCCCTGCCGTTAATTGTCGCTACAGCACGCACGCGCACACACCCCCTGTCTGTGTCCCAGCAGCTCCCAGGGCGCCAGAGCCTCGTGGATACAGAACTGCGTGAACTTGGCCGCACGTTGTGCCTTCCTCAGATCGTTCCAGAAAAGAGTAAAGCAGTAATGAGAGAAATAAATGCCCTCCCTTTCTCTCTGGTCTTCCCTAGACCTGAGGAAGCTGCCACAGCCTGCAGAGGGGACGAAGACCTCTTTATCACCGGGCAGTTCCAGAAAACCCTGGAGGAACTTGACGGGGACCTGGAAGGTGAGAGCAGTCCCTGCTTCGCCATCGCATCATGTGCTGGGAGACTCTGGGGGTTGTTTTTTCTGACCAGGTTTGTAGCTCCATGAGGGACAGGTTGTGCAGGAGGAACCCTGGTCCGTCTGAAGAAAGCCTGGGTGTGAGGCCAGCAAGTGAGCACAGCTCTGGAGATTGCATCTCCGATCGGGGCTGCTAACCGCACTGTGGAGACGTCTCAATAGCAGCTTAAAATCCCTCTCGATGGTACTGATATTGCACATCGGGAAGGATTCTAAACACATTCAGAGAAAAAGGGGGTGCCTGGGTGGCTCAGTCGGTTTAACGTCCGACTTTGGCTCAGGTCACGATCTCACAGTTTGAGAGTTGGAGCCCCACGTGCTGACAGTTCGGAGCCTGGAGCCTGCTTCAGATTCTGTGTCTCCCTCTCTCTCTGCCCCTCCCCTGCTCACGCTCTGTCTCTCTCTATCTCAAAAATACATATTTAAAACAAAGAGTTTTCCAGTGCCAAAATGGGTTTGGGGAGCACTGGGTGACACAGGTGAGCACACTCCCACCCCTTTGCTTGCTAATGTGTGGCGTTTCTTGAAGGGAAATTCAGGACCCACCGCCCTGACCGTGAACCCATTTCTGGTGGGGCATCTGCTTTTCTACAGAGACAGTGGGGGGAGATAATACCGCGAGGCCAAAGCAGACGCATGGGATCTCAGTAGACAACCGGCTGATCTTACAAACAAAGGCACACAGTGAAAATAATCTAGAAATCAGATATTGGCCATGCCTTAAAACAAATCAAAACAAAAACCAGAAGGAAGCAGACGGCAGAGCTGATGAGTAGTTTTGTCAACTCGCTTTTCAGCTCTCAGACGTGGTGGACAGAGCTAAATCTTTCACCCTGTGTCCCTGGGGCTCTGATCAAGTGACCCGCTAAATCCTTTAGGGCTAATTCTGAGACGCCCAAGCTTCAGTCATCTGCCTCTTAACTGAAGGCATGGGCACCTCATCGCCCGTGTGCTTTGTGGCGCTTCTGATGAACGAGATCAAGTTGAAGGTCGAAACCCCAGTTCCCCTTCACATTCTGTGCTGAGACAGTGTTTCTAGAGGGCTCAGGTTTACAGGACTAGTTTCTAAGTGAAGGATGTTGGCAAAACCTCGTCCCAGAATGCTGTACCTGGAGACATCACGGACGTGCAGTTTCCTCTGTCGAACCAGCAGGGCTGAGCCTTGGGCCCCAGGCATGTGTAGATTACAAATTGGAATGACGCTTGAAAATGCACATAAATAACTTACACAAGAAGAACCTCAGGAAAATCAAAGCCAGGGTGTGGTTACACTAAGCGATTGGCTTGGGAATCATCACCAGCGATGCCAATCTGTGACTTGTGTTTGTCCTTCTTTGCAGAACTGGAAGACGGCTATGAAGCCAGCACTGGCTCGGTGAACGGCGTGTCTGGACGCCGCGTGTCCGATGCCACGGTCCCCAACAGCGATGAGGACGCGATCCCAGTAACGTTCATAGGGGAGGTCCTAGACGATCCTGTGGATTCGGGGTTGTTTTCCAACAGAAACAACAATGCTGGTTCTTTTGACCCGGGGAGCGTGGCCGGCCGGGGAGGCCACCCGTTGCAAAGTCAGGCGGAGAACAGCCAGCAGCGGGAGACGAGAGCAGACGTGCCCGACTCGGCAGCTCCTCCCCACGGCCTTGGGAAGGAAGTCAAACCCGCCTCATCCGACCCCTGTGAAGATGGGGGTCCGAACAAAATGGAGCCCAAGGCGACTTCTGCAGACTTTCCCACGCACAACCCAAATGCAGAGGACGGCGGTGAGGGGCCCGGCTCTGCCCTCAGTGGGCAGACACAGGCCAGCAAGAGCGCGAGTTCATCAGAGCCAGCGAGGGCAAAGGAAGGCGAGGATAAGCACGGTGGCTCCGCACCGCCATCGTGGTATCGACGGGGCCAAAACCCAGGGTGCAGTTACGGACTGAAATACGGCCTCACGACGTACAAAATCGTCCCTCCGAAATCGGAGATGAGATGTTACGACAGAGGAGTATCGCTGTCAACAGGGGCCATTAAGATCGACGAGCTAGGGAATCTGGTGAGTCCCCACGCGAACGGGGGCAGGACCGTAGCCCCGTCGTCGCCCGCTCTCGACGCGGAAACCCAATCCATTGGAAGGGTCAAGGAATTCTGGAGGTCCGGCTCTCTGGAGAAGCACTCTGGCCAGCCCCCGGAGTGCTCAACCAACAGGACCCCCGCTCCCACCACACCAACGAGGCCACAGCAGCAGGAAAGTGGACTCAGGGCAGAGCCCACTGTCCCGGACCCCAAAGCGACATCGCCCCCGCAGCAGTCTGCCCACCGAGAAGCAGGGCGACACGTGGAGGAGGGGAGAGACCGGCCACCCGTGGCGGCCACTCGTCACGTGAAAGTGCCAGCAGCCAATGCCTCAGAGGTCCTGTTCCTCAAGCCCCAGAGAAGAACGTCCAGTCAGTACGTGGCCTCTGCCATTGCCAAGCGGATGGGGCCCCAGAAAGCCCAGGCCGAGGAGACCCGTGAAGGCAGAGCCCCAGAGCTGGCCGGACGGCCTCCCGCTGGGAGAGACGGCTCAGCCCCCAGCCCGCTCCCAGAGACCCGCATCCGTGCCGACCGGGAGGCGTCGGCGGTAGGAGCCCAGCCCAGGGGGCTGGTCAGCAGCCCTGATGGAAAGTCGTCTGCTCAAGACGGCCCGGCGGCCATCCGCAGAAGTCCTTGTGTCCCGCCTGTCACGGCCGCCCAGAGGGGTCACGTGTCTATGGGACAGAGCTCTAGTTTCAGCGGAAAGCAGAGCCTAGGCGACCACAGGGCCAGCTCAGCATCCGTCCCCAGACGCACTCTGGACAGTACAGATCCCCCGCCCGCCCGCTCAGGAGACGATCAGACTCCAGACAGGACCCTGGTGAATGGCTCCAGGTGGGTCCCCATCCCCAGCGAGCCTCCTCACTCTCCGAGAGGCTCCCGCACCAGTGGCCATGCCGGACGGGAGCCCCTAGAACAGGAGGAGAAGCCCGAAGCCAATGGCACCCTGCCACCCAGCATCTTTGGGCCGAAGAAGAAATTCCGACCCGTTGTCCAGAGACCCGCACCAAAGGACACGTCCCTGCACAGCGCCCTGATGGAGGCCATCCACTCAGCGGGCGGGAAGGACAGGCTTCGCAAGGTGAACGGGCAGGCACCTGCCTGCAGGGCACAGGCACCCGTTTCCTACCTGTCGCTCCCCACGTAGATTCTCAGGTGGCATCGGAGGAGGAGGGGCGGGGCAAGCTAAGAATGAGGGAGGCGAATGCTGGGGTTTAATTTCCACCAGGAGCTTCGCCTTGCTGCCTGCAGAGTATTTAGAACCACAAAAGAGACGAAAGCAGATGGGTTTGCGGTTGTCCGAACTGCCTTTAAGACCCTGACCCCCTGGGGGGAGATGTGGGCGGTAAAGTGTCCGTACCTGGGGGTCGCCTCATCCATAACTGGTCCTTGAGTGAGCAGATAGAGACTCAGGCCCCTGCCGGTCATTCCTGCATGGTTAGCGGGGTCTACTGTCCTTGTTCGGTAACGGCAGGGACGGAGTTTATGACACCCTCCTCCCCTGTCCAGGCACTTAGCACCAACGCTCAGCTTTGGGAGCCATCTCCATTCCACAGGGGCGGAAACGGAGGCACAGTGAAGTCAGGCGAGCTGGCCCACGGCCACGCTGCCAGCTAGTGGGGACCCCGGGCCCTCATTCAGGTCTGCAAAGCTTCAAGGCACATATCCGCTCCAGAAGCTACACCAGTATCAGGAGCCACATGACATTAAGAGGCCACCGTCCCATGCCACCCCACACACATGCGCTTTGGTCGTTAGATGGCGTGAGGTCAGTGTGGAATGTTCACTCCCTGCCCAACGGCAGAAATACATTCTACTTTCCACCAGCGGGGGCCGTAAAATCGATCCTCGAGCCCTCACCTCCCTCACCTGATAGGTATCGCTTTCCTCTGGTGCTGCCCTATGCTTTGCCTTTCTCCTCCTTCCCGGGGAAACGTGTTGACACTGTGAACGTTCCAGATTGCAGAGCACGCGTCGGAGGCAGGGCCCAGGAAGCTGTCCTGCAGGGAGGCAGAGGGCGAGCGCTCGGCCCTGCTGGCGGCCATCCGAGGGCACAGCGGTGCCCGCAGCCTGCGGAAGGTAAGACAGGGCCTCCCGTGGAGGGATGGCTTCGCACCCCCGCGCCCCGCGGCGACCCACGCGGGGGCCGCAGCTAAGCCGCCATCAGAGCGGGCAGGCCAGCAACCACGGAGGCTGGCACTGAGGGGCAGCACCCCGCGTGGGAGAGGCAGGCGCATCGGGGAGCTGGCCCCCGTCCCTCCCTCCCTGCCCGCCTGGGACACAGCACGTCTGGAGCTCCCCAGCCCCCAGCGTGGCTGCCGGGGGCTTGTCTCACCTCCGGGACAAAGTTGCCGGTGCTTTGGCCCGGATCTGGCACAGCCTGGGAGCCAAGGTGGACTCAAGCGCAGGGGCAGGACTGTGCTATCCGGCTTCTAGTCTCAGAATCCGAGGAACAGCGCGGTGTATTACCCACCGAGGGAGGCACGCAGCCTCCCTGACGGCTGGGCGCTTGGTCCTGGCCTGTCCTCACACCGAGATGGGGCAGGGGGGCAGGGAGTGCTCCGGAAGGCTCCCCGAGATGGGCGCCGGCTGGGGACCTTGGGGGCGAGCTCGCACGCCTGCCTCCCCGGCTGAGGCAGCACGTCACCCCTCCGAAAGGCCCTCTGGGACCTTGTCCTTTGACCTTCTCGTTGTTTAGGTGTCCTCCTTCGCCTCCGAGGAGCTTCGAAGCTTCCGAGACGCAGCGCTGTTGGAACGCAGGCCAGAGCCGCCAGGCCTGGATGACCTTGGCGTTCGGCCCCCGCCCGCCCTGCCGCCCCCGCCCCCTCCGGCCACCCAGGCTCCCTCCATGTCCAGGCCGGCGTCCAGGTCCAGCTCGGGCAACCCGGCCGAGGCCAGGCAGGCCTTGATGGACGCCATCCGCTCGGGCACAGGGGCCGCACGACTGAGAAAGGTGACCATGGGTGACCCTGTGAGCGTTCGGGTGGGGCAAGGGGGAGGTCACCACGGAGCCCCACGGCAGTAACACGGCAGCAGTGACCGATGGCTGAAGCCCCGTCCCTTACCCCCTCGACCAGAGGGAGGGAGATGGCCTTCACCGCATGGGGGTCAGCCCTCAGACATGCTCCCCGGGGATACGGGGTTCCCCATCCTTGGGGAGGGCACCACACGCTCTTGACTGTGGTCCAGGGACAGGCCCGACAGGCATCTGGGAAGTGTCCTGTAGGGAACACGCATCACAGTCATGGCCCTCAGCGTGGATTGAGGCTGTGGATGTGATTTCTTTCCCTCCTTCCTCCCTCCTTCCTTCCTCCCTCCTTCCTTTCTTCCTTCCTTCTTTCCTTCCTCCCTCCCTCCCTCCCAGCCCCCCTCGTTCTCTCTTTCCCTCTCTCTCTCCCCTTCTGTCTTGGGTAGCATTATGTGTGAAATTTTTGAGTTGGAAGCCTTTTGAGCAGAGCACATGCTTTCTGCTTCTCCACAGTTCTCGTCTTCTATGTGGTCTCCTGGTGGGGTAACACTTGGAGCCCTCATGTTCCCAAAAAGCAGATGCGTTTTGCACCACCCCGATGGGATTCCCAAACCAAAGGGCTCCTGGGCCGGGTGGCTTCTGAGATCTGTGTTGTCAGCTCTGAGATGGTTGTCTGTCTGAGATTGATTCTCTGTCCCTGCTCATTTCTGGTGGGCTCGGGGAGTTACGCTGATTATAGGGAGGCCAGAGGAACGTATTTCTGCCTGAGAGATGCTTTCCAGCCCCTAAGCTGGTGTTTTCGCGTGCACCTGAAGAGGTCAGTACTAAGATTACCCTCACGATCTGTGGAAAGTGGATGAGGCTCAGAAAACCTGAGTGGCCTGGCCTCGGTCACACAGGACTGGACTGACACCGGTCACTTTGGGCACAGAAAGTTCTCGAAAGCAGGTATCGCCCCGTTGCATGTGCTGTGGGAGAGCAGGTGGCCCTGGAGGGACGGCTGAGTTGCTGATGCTAAGAAGGCAGATCACTGTCCTGCATCCACCCGGGAGCCCGTGGCAGCGGAGGGGACAGGAGACGGCCCACATCCCTGCAGGCAGCAGGCCACAAAGGGCAGTCCTCGCTCAAGCCCAGAGAGCCGACGGAGCATGGCCTGACCACCCGCTGACTGGGTGCTCCCCCGGGGGCATGGTCCCTGTGCTTGGGCCAGCCCCCAGAGCTGTGTCCCTGTGTGACCGTGCTGTGTTCATGGCTGTGTGCGTGTGGCCCTCGGTAGGGACCCCAGACGTCCCATGACACGGATGCTGGCCAGTCATCTCTGGACACACAGCCCCCTCCCCCTCAGGATGGGGTGGGAGGGAAAGACAGCGTCCTTGGCTGAATGGCAGGGGTAGACAGAGGATGTCACATTCTCTCTCCTTAGGGGGGAGAGCTGCTAACATTACGGGGGGCTTTCTGGTTTTCTATATGCTTTCTTTCATTTCTGTGGAATTTACGTACTGATGAACTTAGTACACATATCCCAACAAGCTGGGGTGAGTGGCTAAGTCAGGGTTCTAAGAAGGAGACCGCGGGGTTCTGAGGAAAGTGGCTGTCCACGCGGCACCTGAGGCAGCCCCGCCCCCACAGTTCCCAGTATCGAACTGGGTCACCGGCCGGTCCAGTGTCCTTCCTGAGGGGCCCAGAGCACAGCTATCGGGCCCGACCGCCCCCAGCTGATCCTGGGGGAGGATTTTGAGTTTCTCAGAGGGAAATCCACATCAGATGTGGGGGCAGGGGTGGGAGGTGAGGCTCCAGGTCAGCAGATTTCAGGTGTTTTGGCCGAGTGACTTCACCTCCAGATGCGAACGAAGTTGAGCTTTGGATGGGACAGAGAGAATGTGACATCTTTGGATTTTGGATAATGCCGAGTGTGACCGTATGACCACTGACTGTCCCCTTTCTCACCTGTGCCGTTTCCTTCACCGGTCCCTGGATCTTTCCAGAACGACCGTTACCCTGCGTACCTTGCAGGCCTCACAAGGAGCCTGGGCCCAGAGGGGCGAAAAGCTTGCCTGAGGTTGCACAGCGGGGCAGAACCGCGGCAGGTGTAACCCTCAGGCTTTCTCTCGGTGAGGCTGAGCTGGGGACAGGGGGGCCAGGACCAGACGGACCGGTGGGTGTGGGGCTGGCACAGCAGGGGCCCTGTGCGTCTGGACTGAAGCTTGGGAGCAGGGCCGCTGCAGGAGAGGTCCTGGGCGGCCACTTTCTTTCTGCTGCTTCAAATGGCATTCAGGGCCTTCCTGTTGATTGTTTCTCAGATGAGCGTAAGTGTTGTGACCTGCCTCATCCATCCTGGGACGATCTGTGCCGTCCACATTCAAATGGCACGTGTGAGGTTTTGACGGCCTGAACGGTTTACCAGCCGCCCTTGGGCAGGAGTGGCCGGGATGCATGTGACACGGGGGACCACGTCCCTTCGCTCTCTATCACTGCGCTTCCCAGCCATACCGCCGTGTGCACAGACGCACAGGACTGGGTCCCTGCTCTACCCGGTGACCCAGGACCCCTTCTCCCCCTTGCACTGTGCATACCAAAGTCACGCGAGACCCGCTGATGGCGACGGGACCTTGGAGGGCAGGGGCTGGGTGCTCCAAGTGACCAACAGCCCCCCGCCTCCAGCCTCCACGAGGTTCTCGCCTGGAGCCAGTGCTTTGTCCTGTAGGAGGACGCACCTGTGCCTCTTTCCCAGTGGCCTGCCCGCCTTATTTACGCGGAACGGCAGATCTGTGGCGCGGGGAGAAATGTGCAACTCAGGCAACGGGGCCCATCTCTGTATTTGCTCACAAGATGCTGCTTCTCTGCTCGGCGTGGACCCCGGTGACCTCTTGGCTTTGCAGCCAATGCGCTTGGGGCTGTGTCACGGCACGGGAGGCTCAGGTCATTGGGACTTTGCCTCGTATTTTTTCTTCGGCTCCCTTTTACCCTTTGGGCTGTTAGGGCCCTGTAAACTTGGGGCAAGTGCCATAAATTGTGGGCTCCGGGGTCCACACCACGTGGGCAGAGCTCTCCCTGGGCGCTCGTGTGTGCACATCACCCTTCACCAGCTCCTGGGCTCAGTGAGGGCTCCAGGCCAGGGTGGTCGGGAGGGCTGTGTGCACCGGAGGCGGTCCCTGGTCTTCCCGGGGCTGCAAATGCTCCGCTCCTCTGTCAGCCCAGCCTCCTCCTGCAGACTGGGGTGCCCGGCCGTTCTGGAAGGGCTCTCAGGCAGGCAGGACCGTCGGGGCTACACCCGGGATGGCCAGTCCCCCTACCTTTATCGCACGGGTTTCACACTGGCAGCGATGCAGTAAAATGCGAAAGGATCAGTTTGGCACCTAAGGAACAACCACCTTAAAAAGGAACGCCATCCTTCAACGCAGTCAAGAGTACAGTGGCCTTTGCGGTGTGAACCAATTAATTTCCCTGCCTCTGTATTTGTGGCGATCAGAGAGATTTCCAGCTCCGGGTGAAAGCATTTGCTTTCTGCTCTGTCCGCGGGCCCTTCCTCGGTGGACCAGCTGCTCTTTCTGAGTGCAGGGCTCAGATGGACCACGCAGCACCCACCTCCCCCACTCAGCCCTGCACTAACAGTAATGGGGAACCTGTGTGCAGCTAACTTGAGCGGTGTGTTTCTAAATGCGTTATTTCAGGGGGCCTGGAATGTGCCCCGAGCACCTTCTTAATCTGTGTTTATATTTAAAACATCCAGGGGCGCCTGGGTGGCTCAGTCAGTTAAGCGTCCGACTTCGGCTCAGGTCATGATCTTGCTGTTCGTGAGTTCGAGCTCCGCGTCAGGCTCTGTGCTGACAGCTCGGAGCCTGGAGCCTGCTTCGGATTCTGTGTGTGTGTGTGTCTCTCTCTCTATCAAAAATAAATGTTTAAAACACTCCAAACCTTTACATGTGCAAGCATCCGCACCACAAGCACTTGCTGAGAAACCCCCACGGGTCCGGGGCCCGTGGTACCTGCTCAGGACAGTGTCTATGCCCTCGTGGGTCCTCAGCCAGAAAGAGAGGTACAGTTTGTTGTTGACCGCAGGACCTTCTCACGAGGTTAGGGACGCAATGAAAGCCCCAGAGAGGCTTCCTCGTGTGCCAGACTCCTTCTGGGCCAGGTGGGGGCAGCCCGATGGCCCTGGGGATCCTGGGGGAGCCATGCCTCCACTGCCACCTCTGCTGGGGCTGCACGGCCGCGTCTCCTCCCACACGCGTGTCGTGACGCTTGGCCTTGACGACAGACCCCGTGAGTCACGATCAGATGGGTGACGCTGTCCCCGTAAACACCCAGCAGGCCCCCGAGCAGGGACAGAAACCAACAGCAGCAGCAACCCTCTTTCCCCAGCCCCGAAGGCGTCTTCCCCACAGGCCCAGGGTATCCCCGCTCCCGGCCGTGTACGTCAGACCGTGACGACAAACCTGAGCGCATCCCGTCACACGCTCGGTTTGGGCTGCTCATGGGGTGAACCCGGCGCACGTTTTGGTTACAGTGGACCCGTTCAGAGGCACAGACAGGTCGGTTCTGGCTTCGCTGTGTGATCACAGGCCGTTGAAATACCTCCTTTGCCGCGCTCCAGATCAGGGTTTCTGCAAGTGGACCGATGGGAGGGTGCGGGGCGGAGCTGCGAGTGGAAGTTTGAGCCGTGCATTTGGTAGAATAGGGACTTCCATGCGCATTTGCTCACTCGTGCCACGAATACACGGCGCTCAGTAAGTTCCGTGCCCAGAGCGGGGAGGGGGAGCCCCACGGTTTCTCCTCAAGGGGCCCCTCTCCAGCGGTGAAGGAGCGGGGAGTCTGGGACACCGCAGTAGAATGGGGTCACCGACGGCACCAGGGGCGACTGGATGGGCCCCGACTAGGGGTCAGGAGAACCTTTCCGCGAAGGTGGTATATACACCTGTCCTTGAAGGAGACGCAGCTTTCCAGGTGGAAAGGGACATCCCCAACGGAGGCACCCCACATGCAAAGCCTGGCCAGAGGAGGAAGACCCCAGAAGCGAGGGGTGGGGGGGTGGTGTTCGGGGAGGGCTGGGCCTGGGGGCAGCTGACGGCTCTAGCACAGTGACAGGGACCTCCAGAGGTGCGGACCTCTCGCGGGTCCCTGCTTCCTCTGCTGAAAAAGACTGGCACCGAAGGCGTTAAGGGTGTTTGTGTTTCGGAACACGTTCTCCTTGGGGCACATGAGCAGAATGGGTATCAATGTAGGGAGAGTCACGGCAAGGATGTTCTTGCACTTAGCGCCTCAGCCCCCAGACCTCCGCACCCTTGGCCGACCCCGTTGGGCCATCCGGCTCCCCCGAGTAACCGCGGCTCTCTCTCCTCTGCAGGTGCCCTTGCTGGTGTAAATCTTCGATGAGATCAGATCGCGGCAGAAACCCACCCCCGTGAGCCGTCCACAGTCCCTGCTTGAGGACTTGCCACGTGGCAGGGGGCGTCGGGACGTGGCGGACTTTCTGGTCTACAGGCCAAACGCACACAGCTGGTTTTCAGTCCTGCGACATGGTTCCAAGAGAGGGCAGGATTCCGCCCTGCTGCACAGCTTAGGTGCCAAGGAGACGTGTTTGCCTCTGAGTATTTCACGTTGCCAATAAACCTTTCTTGTTGGCAGGTTAATGGGGATCTAAATGCGGGAGCCCAAGACTACACTTCGTGGTGACCTTCGGCCAATGCTGGACCTTTGAGAATTTACCACATAGATAGATGGTTGCGACCATTTCGCTGTTTGAAATCTTTTGAATTCTAGGGAGATACGGAGAAACCGACTGAAACGATCCGAATGTCAGAAGCTCTGTGATGTTTTGCTCATAACAAAAGAGCCAGAAGGCTTTTTTCAAAGTTTGACTGTCGAGTCATGAAACCGTTGGAGTTTTATCCCTCAAATATTGGGAGTTATGACCTCCCGGAGGATCGCAGACCATGATCTGACCAACTATGCTTTTAAAAATCACCTGTTCCCGCCCAGAATAAAATCGTACTTGATGTATGGACAGGCATTTCTGATTCTCCAGGGGTGGCGGTGACAGAGATCGGAATGGCATTGGCGTGGACGGTCGGTGCCCCACCTTGCAGGTGTCCCCAGTGGGCTGTGAGGTAGAATGAGCCTCCCCCAGGAGGGCTGTGTATGGAGCCCGGTGACTTCCCTGGGAACCTTCCGAAGTCCTGCACGGGGCCCGGAGCGGGGACGTTGGGTGTGTGCGTGTCGCCAGGATCGGATCAAAATTGTGCTGGTATTTCATGGTTTGTGTTCAGTCTGGGTGCTTTCGCCCAACAGATCAGGGTCACCCCTGTATCACATGGAAGGCTTTTCGAAGGACACGGAATTCTGCTGCCGGTATTTATAATGAAGTTTAGACACAGCACTAGTCTCTCACTTCTGTCTCTAAAGCACTTTGTTGCATTGGGAAGAGCTCTTTAAGACATGAATAGAAATCAAGAGGAGCTCGTGAAATGAAATCTCTGTCTTCATCAAGCAACAGACACACGGTGGGATCGTTTTAATGTCTCACGGCAGATCCAGGCATCACGTAGAATGGAAACTTTGCTCTGCGTTGTCCAATGGCCGTTGCTCACTTCCCGGTGGGGCAAGAGCGTCAGCCGGTCCCTCTCAAACCACACTGTCTCCACTATGTGTCTTTTAGTGCCACAAATAAAAGAAAATGAATTTCATTGTGTGGAAGTTGTGACTTTATGCTACGGTTTGTTGGGATGCCCGTAGCCCCAAAGCAGAAAGGAGAGATTCATTTTTTTCAATCAACACATATGACTGCCTCTGTACTCCTCTGGGCCGCAGAAGGCAAAACAGATGAGAATCCCTGTCCTCATGGAGTTTACTTTATAGGGGAGGGGACAGACCATATGCAACATGAGCAAAATATTAAGTATATTTGGAAGCGGATACTGCATAGAACATCAGGAGAAGGGGTGAAGAGTAAAATAGGACGATGAAGAGAGTCCTTAGGGATACAGTGATGTTTGAGTAGAACCCTGAAGGAAATGAGAGAGCAGACCATGGGTGGATGTGTAACTGGCGGGGGAAAGAGCAGGTACAAAGGCCCTGTGGCAGGATTTGCTCAGTGTGTTGGAGGGACGAGGATAGTGTGAGGCATGGTGGTCATGCAAAAATACGCCGTTTCCCAGCCTCTGAGCCCTGGTCTTTGCACACAACTTGCCCCCCCCCCTTTTCCCACAGCAGCCTCGCTCTTCAGCCAGACCAAGAGGGGGGCAGACACGGCGGGGTGGGGGTGTCCAGAAGGGGACCTCAAAGATGAGAAAGGCTGTCCAGTTAAGCGCACCCTACCCCTGTTTCCTTTCTCTCCCGAGGGAAGGGTTCAGCTTTATGCTAAATTTATCCTTTGATCCTTTGCTGCGATTGTGTTACATCCTGCATCTCGAAGCCTTGGGCTTTGGACTGTGGAATGGGGACCAGTACAGCCATGTGGGTCGTGAGTTCATCTCTCCCCCAGGTTTTCACAGTTGTCCCTGGTTGTGCTCGGTAAACCTGAGCGGTGGCGAGGCACCGGTTTCCAGAGGAGGCAACTGAGGTCCGAGAAAGTTGAGCAGCTAACAGAACAACTGGATCACCTTCTTCTTCTCATGCCGGGCTCCCCTGTTCCTCCAGAATTTAATCTGAACTCAGTCTAGAAGACTCCCCGGGGCCTGTATCCCCTCCCACCTGTGTCCTGCATCGCTGTGAAACTGGTGCCAGGTTGTGGGACATACCCAGACAGCACATGGCCCTCCCCCATGCCTCCTGCATTTCCCCTGCCAGAAACCCCCACCACCACCTGCCACCCGGCTCAGCATGGAGCCTGCTTGGGATTCTCTCTCTCCTTCTGCCCCTCTCCTCTGCTCTCTCTCGCTCAAATAAAAACGAACAAAAACAGAACAAAACAAGAAGGAAGAGGAAAAAGCAGAGAAAAAACTCCCAAGCCCTCCTCCCTCTGTGTTGAATGGTCTGTGGCTCCCGCTGACCGCTTCTTACCTCCCCCACAGTGGGGATGGGATGGTCAGAGGGTAGGGCATGACCCAAGTCTCCTGGGGCGGGTCCCGATCAGCTCTCTCCCCAGCAGAGGCCACGACCAGGAGCCAACCTGTCAGCGCACAGGGACACCAGCTCGGACAAAACGTGGCTCAGGGGAGTTCAGGAAACTGACCCAATTAGCCACCATTACTCCTCGGGTGGAGGCGTGGAGGGCAGGGAGAAGGAGGGGTGAGGGCATCTGAAGGGAGCAACACTGGAAGCGTGGAGAAGCCGTGAGCCCTCGGCAGGGCGGCTCGGACGCACACTCAGGAGGAGCCCCGGGGGGCTCCTCACTGGGCCATTTCTATCACCGAGACATTCCCAGGGTCAAGGCCACTGCCTCCCACCCCTGCGTGTTCGGCCGGAGATGCGAATGCGTTCAGAGCTGAAGGATCAGGCCGCGGTTAAGTCGGCACCTGCTCACGAATGGTTTGGCCAACTTCCCCGATCGGGCACGGGGTAGGTGAGGGCGGGCAGGTGGCCCAGCCAACGGAGGCCGCTCCTTCTGCAAATGGAAGAAAACGCCTTAGACGTTGCTGGACTCCCGGGGCACCGCACGGCTCAGTCAGCTGAGCGTCCGACTCCTGATCTCAGCTCGCGTCTTGGTCTCGGGGTCGTGGGTTGGGGCCCCACATTGGGTTCCATGCTGAGTGTGAAGACAGCTTAAAAAAAGTTGCTGGGGTCTCAGATCCCGGGCCCTCGGGTGGGTGCGGACCCAGGCAATGCAGGAATATTGGCATCCACACATTACGCCCTCACCTTCCTCCTCAGCCTGAGCTCTCCGAATACTGGGTGGAGGACCAGCCCCAGTGGAAAGACCCACCCGGAGAGGCAAAGGGCTTGGCCAAGGTGAAACCGCAGCTCTGGCCGGTGCCTTCTCCAAACCCGCTGAGGTACGGCTGGGGCAACCGCTCTCCCTGGCCACCGGCTCTCCTCACCCTCCAGACCCGGGCCTGCCTGTCCTTTCCCCCACACACCACATGGGCTCACTCTTCCATGCTGGGCACGAGAACTCCTATTCATCCCTCAAAACCCTGCCACCTCCCACAGGAAACCGCCCCCAACCACCCCGCTGGCCTGCAGAGAGAGGCAAAGACGGCCCAGGTCTCCAAGCGGAGCCTCCTACGCTGTGGCGTCTGCACGTGAATCCACTGGCTTCTGTGACAGACGGGAGCTGTGTCATGCTCCCTTAGGCTCTGCAGGCCTGGGGACGGACAGTAGTGCCGCGGGTGGGCGTCGTTTGAACTGGAGGGGATTTGCCTCCAGCCGGGACCCCAGGGTGGGCAGTGAGCCCAGGATGACCACATGGAGCCTGTGTTTCTGGATCTGGTCTGCCTGCCTGTGGCCCTCCCTCTGCCCCACTCAGCCTTGAGGCAGTAAAGCAGAGCATCCCAGGTAGAAAGTTCCAGAAGGACTTGCTTAGTCAATGGCTACTGAGCAAATGCTGAGTTGTGGGGAAGAGGGGAGGCTCCCCAGGAGCTCAGGGTTCCGGGATTGTCCCCTAGGTGCAGGGAAGGGGCGGCTGGGGGGAGAGAATGGAATTACCGGCAGGTCTCAGGGACCACAGGGCTATCCAGGCCGAAGGCAGCCTGATGCAGGGCTCGAACCCACGACTCCACTGAAAGAGTCACTTGCTCAAGCCAAGTGGTCTTATGCAGCTCAGTTTCAACCTCCCTTGGAGTGTGGATCTGGGTGCAGCAAGTGGTGGTGGCCACAGCATAGACACCTCCTTGCCCAGCTAAAAGATAATCAAGGGCTCTCCTGTTACAACCTTGGCCAGAGAGTCTAGGGATTTCTATTGGGCAGCGAATGCTTGGCGGTGGATTCCCCAACACTTTCAAGAGTTTCTGGCCATAGTCTCATTTGTATTCATGCCTAGATGGGGAAATAGAGATCCGCCAAAGGCGGTGAATCCCGAATCCTGAAGGACCCCTGGTAGGTCCTCTCTAGTTCGATGACATAAATTCAGGGGAGGTGACCAGTGAGCTATCCTAGTCTGTAAGGAGTTAGGGGCACAGTTAATAACCTCAGAGGCATTGCCCAGTTACCCACCCACCCAACGCCAGCCATCTAGGCATTCATAGGCCCACAGAGAATGATAGCCACCACAGACAAGGATAGAGATCCTGCTGGGGCACACGTCACTCCTGCCAAGGTGGCGCACTGTTTAATGGATTCATTCACCAGGATGGCTGCACTTGCCCATCCAAGTCAGGGATCGGTGAGCTATTCAGTGCGTTGGGAAGTAAATCTCTTAGCTTGAAATAGAAAGTTGTTCCACGTTTCTTGCAAAGATGGGTGCTGCCAGTGAGGTCTTCCCACGGC